GCGTGGCACATAACTGACTGATATAGCAGTAAATGCTGAAAATCTCCTCACAGATGAAAAAGAGACTTGAAGCAACAGAAATGTGCTTATATGGAAGAATACTACATCATCAGGAATATGGAAACTAGATGGATCTGCCTCAAACAATGTCAGATTGATTAGGTGTCAAAAGACTAAGTAGAAACCCTCGTCATGTATCGTCAGAATATTCTCAACTCTTTCACGGGATATGCTAATAGCATTGGGTATTTGATATTTCACGGGATATGCTAATAGCATTGAATATTTGATATTTCCCGGGATATGCTAATAGCATTGAATATTTGATATTTCACGGGATATGTTAATAGCATTGAATATTTGATATTTCACGGGATATGTTAATAGCATTAAATATTTGATATTTCACGGAATATGCTAATAGCATTGGGTATTTGATATTTCACGGGATATGCTAATAGCATTGGTTATTTGATATTTCACGGAATATGCTAATAGCATAGGGTATTTGATTTATACTTAATCATCAGTTCTCCATCACTATGTTTTGAACACTATCAATATTTTTTTTTGGTAGTGGCCGTTGGGTCATCTTCGAAACTCTTCCCTCCTCTCATTTTTGCACTGTTGAAAGAACTGGGGCGTCATCTCCCAATGTAGCAGCCATGTTTGCATGAATGTTTTTGAGGACTAAAACCTTTTTCTACGGGGACTGAATTATATTTGAAGTCCACCTTGAACAGTCAAATGTCAGTTTGTCTGGAAATACACATTGCTGTTATTAATATGAAGAGTTGAAATTAATGTATGCAAAATTTTACAACTCTAGGATTCTTCATTTCGTCTACTCGATTTCACTCACAAAGCATGGTATGGTTTTCAGGCTCCTTCCAACTTTTGTGTGTGAGTGTGGGGGGCGGTGTTTGTGTGTGTGTATAAAAGTAAACAGGGAGATCAAAACCGTGTGGAGACGCAATATTCAGGGCATGTATATCGCGTGTTGGCTCAATTACTTATATATGCTGGTCAATGGTGCATTATGATTAGCAAAGTCTATTGTAATACCCGAACAGTTTCTGGGTAAGTCGTAACGGTGATATTTCAAATTATTCTAGAGGCTATTGCGTAGAAATAATTGTGGATACAAATGCTGTTTTTCGTAGATATTTTATAATGTTGTTTATTAAATCTTTACTCATTACTTATTATTGATTACTTAATTATTTGTGGTTCATTATCATTATTAGGTTTACCTGTGTTTATTGTGTCATTCTTAGTTTATTAATATACTTAGGATTTACTTACTTTGTCTATTTATTTAGATTTGTTTATTTTATACATTTTAAATTTTAGGGGTTTGTTATCTTATTTGTTGAATTTAAAGTATTGACTTTGCATTATATGCGTTGTATATATTTCATTTAGGGTTCATTTGTTTTCTGATGACCATGCATTCTATCTTGTAGTTTATGCGTAGTACCTTCTTGCTCTCCTTCACTTCAGCCCAAAAGGTCGCGGCTACTAAAATCAAACAGGTACTGAAATTTAACTATCTGGGAAGATGGTTAAATATCTAGCAGAGGAGGGAAAGTGCGATACTGAGAGCTGAAGATATTGGGATGGCCAAAGACGTATTCCAAAAGCTAAGCAGAGTATCAAGAGACAGAAATATTTTGTTGGAAACAAAGAAATGAGTACTGAAATCTCACGTGATATCTGCCTTCCTATATGGCAGCGAATGTTGGACAATCTCCTCAATGATGAAGAAGAGACTTGAAGCAACAGAAATGTGGTTCTACAGAAGGTTGCTAAAGATACCATGGAACAAACATGTGAGTAATGACAAGATTTTGGAGAGAATGGAAACAAAAAGGAAACGTATACTTATCATCAAGAAGAGGTAGGTGGATATTTCTGGGACACCTAATGAGGAAGGAAGGCTTGGAAAATCTAATACTCTCAGGATGCATACAGGGAAAGAGGTACAAGGCGGTGAATACTTAATGGGATAGAGCAAATAGATTGCAGAATAGTGTCTCGGAGAAATAACAAAAGGACAAAATGTATTAAGAGCAACAAAGAACAGAAGGATGTGGAGGACCATGATAAGCTACATTCTGAAAGGGACACGGCACATAAAATATGAAGATATAGTCCATCACACACACACACACATATATATATATATATATATATATATATATATATATATATATATATATATATTGTTACGTTAGCCCATATTTGTACCCTCACCCCAAATTTTAAAAACATGTTTTAAGTACATAGGAATATTAATAATTTTTTTTTTTATTTCCGTGAAAACGCAGATTGTAAGATATATATTTTTTTATTACCAGTTCTCGGAAGAGAACCTCCCCATTACCCATCATTCCATGTATGGCCTCTAATCGTAGGCCAGATAAACGCTGTAGGTGCAAGTGACCACGTCAGGATTATATGAATGACGCCTACGCATTTTTCGTAGGCCGACACGTGATGGTTTTGTTTCGTGCGTGTCGGGGTAACGATTCTTCACTCAGTTGTTTGTCCTCGGAAGAAGCGGACGTCATCAAGTATCAGTCTTAGCTGTTTGCTGCCCGTAGAAGTGGACGTCACCAAATACCAGATTTCGCTGTTTTCTGTCCGAGGATGCAGATATCGCCAAAATCTGATTTCGCTGTTTGCTGCCCGAAGAATCAAGAACATCATCACCCAAGTCAGCTACGCTTTTATGATCCACATCTGTATACTAGAACATTGATAATCCCTCCCTTTTATGTTCAAAAGAAAAACAAAAGAGTGTATGAACATCCTTTTCATTAAACAGTGTTAACGATAAAACCCCGATCGACGTCAATCTCCATCTCCTCGAAGTGTTGCATGTTATATCTTATTGTCTGCTTGTTCTATATTCCTATGATATTCGTAACAGTAGTATTTGTCTAATTGATTACTTCTCTCCCCATCTCTTGTGTTATTAAGTTTCGTCTTTTTTTCTTCTCTTAGTTTCACACCTTGTACATATGTAAATAAACTATTTCTATTATAAATTCTCGTATTGTCTCCTGTCGTTCCGTGTCTGCACATTGTTTGTTTCTTACTGCGTTTACCGATGTCTGGACTTGGAGAATTCCCCTCCCACTGTTCTTTTCTGTGTTTTTGCGTTGAACCTTGGAATCTCTTCTTTCTCTTCTCTTATTTATTTTTATTTATTTTATTTTGTCGTTGCGTCCCGGCTATCGTAGTCCCAACGAAAACCCGGGCGTAACAGAATATATATATAATAAAAGGGCTTAAACACTAATATTCCATGGTCATAATTTATTCAATTGGAATCGTAAATACGATCCAATTCATCAGACCTACAAATTTAAAAAGAAAACAGAAAAAAACAACTCCGGAAATAAAAAATAAAATTTAGTGAGAGTGTAAGTATGACAGTGTGGGACGAATGTTAGAGCTATAGAGAGGGGTAACAGACGAGAGAAGGTGAAGGATTAAAATTTAACAGAGAGAAGTTTTAGAGAGGGGAGTCAAAGACGGTTTAAGTGAGAGAAATATGAATGTTGTCGGATGTCTAATACATTAAAGATGTAACCGGAAAGGATACATTTTGTGGTGACATGCACACACAATAGACGATCTAATCTTAAAGATCAGAAGAAGAGGGAGGGAGAGGAAAAGAAAAGAGAAAGGGGTGGGGGAGAGAGATGGTAGCGGGGGGAACTAAAACTGAAGAGCATTTACTGAAAGGGCCGCTGTGTAATTAAGAAAATTTGACAAAATTAATATCAACTACAGGTTACAAATCAAATGTAAACCTATAAAAAATAAATATAACGATTATCTAATCTAGCAAGGACCTATATTCCTATGTTCAAAAACGCATACGTATACACAAATACACAATAACATATACACGTACATACATACATATAGGCGTTTAAGCCTTTTTATTATATCCTTACTCTGTTCTGGACATTGATTTTTACCTGGATTCTATCCTCTTGGAATTTTTTTTAGACAAAAAATATATATGTATGTGTATGCATGTATGTATATATATATATATATATTTATATATTTTGCATATGTATGTGTATATTTACCACAAATATTATCAATATCTATATCTTTATCTATATCTATCTATCTATCTATCTATCTATCTATATATATATATATATATATATATATATATATATATATATATATTATCGTGGCGTTCCTCTACTATGTTGATTTTGATTATGAATCAGTAGGGAGTCAAAGGTAAATACTAGAGGATAGCTTTCCTTGACGGAAGAGATACTGCTGTTTTATTCATTCCGTACTGGTGGCTGTCCTCTCCCCCGCTGCTTGGACAGAATACTCGAACTTGTCCCGTAACATCTCTTCTGTTGCGGTAGTACCTGACCAGCTACGACTAGCTAAGACAGGCTATGACTATCTTAGACGAGTCTTGACCAGTGTCGCGAGTGAAGCCACTCCGGTCCCAAGTTATAACAAACTGAACCTGTGCTGCATCCTAACTGCATCCGTTGCGGAGTCAAAGGTAAATACCAGAGGAAAGGTTTTCTCCCTTTGCTGTACAGTGTCACTGCTTATACGGATGATGCACTTTTAGCTAGAGTGACAGCTTTGGTTTGTTTTTTGACCTTTTTCTTCGGAATAGTATGATGCCGTCTTCCCATATCCTTGATAGGAATCTTTAAGTTTCATATTTTTCCCTTTTCACCGGGTTACAATGCAATTCCCTACCCTTAGCGGTACGTCGTCTCTAACCGACGGTTTTCTGTAAGATGCTGAGCAACAGTTGACCCTCATGAGTTCCTGCTGTATCAATCGGCAGTCTGCCTGGTTACGGGTACGATCTATTGTCGTATTGGAGGTGCCAACCCGTGTGTTTTGATAATCCTTTTCAGGACTAAGAGTCTGACTTTCCACTAATTATATGGTATGCGAATCCTATTTGTCCTTTTAAGGGCAAACTCGTTATGTTGCTCCTGACTGCTTGGGCCACCGCGCGACCTCTCGTTCCGTTATCTCTGGCGCTTGTTAACGTTACCTGCACTCACAGCACACGACCTCTCGTTCCGGTATTTTCAATGTTTGTCTGCGAAGGACCATTCGTTCCGTGTTTTTTTTCTGCGCTTGTCAACAGCCTCGATATCTTCTGCGTTCAACCAACCGTTCTGGCACCTACTATGCATATCAGTCATTTTCTGTCGCATACTGATCTTCTCCGGAGTTCATCGGCATCATACTTTCAAAAGCAATCGTGCTGGTTGTATACCACTCTTCTCCTGAACACATCGGATTTTTCTACGCCCTGCAATCGTCACTATTCTTTCCTGTGCATACAGCTTACCTTTCTTCGAAAATCGATGGTTCCAGATTTTCCTGCGCATATCTGCTGACCAGATTCCCTTTTTGGAACATGGACTGATCCAGACCTCTTCTGAGTATGTCTACTGACTCTTTATTCTCTTCGAACATCGACTGTTCTGGATTAGTTTTGCCCATGTCAACTGGTTCAGTTTACTTACTTTTTCAAACATGTACTGTTCCGGTTACTATCGGCATATTCACAATTGATTCGCCATTTTTCTACTGCTCGTCGACATTTTCCAGTTTATACTTTGTGTTAATCCACTCTTCCGGTCATTATTTTACACATATCATCCTATCAGCCTTTTTCAGTGTATACAATTCTGACTTAGTGTAATTTACCAATTGTCACATTTTTCATAGCTGCGTTATATGACCTTTTTCTCCAATCTAATTTAAACATTTCTTTTTACTAGATTTCGAGTTCCAAATTTCGGTTTTTCATATATTTTCTACGGAACTCTTTTCGACACAAACAATTTGCATTTTATTTCCTGATTTGGATTGTTATTTGCCAAGAATCAATTTGGCATATTTTATTTGAATTCCTCGTTTTGTTGTTCTTGCCTTTCATTGAGTTTTATTTCTAAATGTTTGATTAAAACATCCCATACCCCTGTTAACGCTACAATATATATATATATATATATATATATATATATATATATATATATATATATATAGTTAGGTAATGGAAAGTTTGGTAAAACGTATGGATTATGTGTGTTTTTGTGTGTGTGAGATAGGATAAATAACAGATAGGGAATATTTATCAATCTAACATGTTCCACATATAAAAGTGAAACATATTATATTGATAAACGTTTCCGATTTGTTTTTTCTCTTATTTTGTCGGATTTGAATATCTGATCAGTTTTCACACACACACACAAACACACACAAACACACAGACATTGCAGACATGGGAATCAAAGTTTCTATGGCAAAAATGTATGTATGTATGTATTTATCTATCTTTTTTGAAACTGTTAATCGTGTTACTGTATGGAAAATCCTCTCAAAATTGGGCTGTCCCAACCATTTTCCCAAGAATCTGAGGTCCTTCCATGACGGTATGGAAGCCTGTGTCAGTTTGGGCGGTACGCTTACTGGGCCTATCATGGTTGAAAATGGAATCAAGCATAGAGATCTGGCTCCTACACTGTTTTTTTTATCTACTTTGCAGTTGTGCTGCTTGATGCGTTCGGGGGCTGCTATGATGGTATTATGATGAGGAACAGTTCAACTCGCAAGCTTTTCAACATACGTAGGTTTGCAGCAAAGACACATGTCTTTTTTAGTTTAGTGCGCAACCTTCTCTATGCCGATGACTGTGATCTGGTTGCACACCCAATTCAGCCCGCACAGGAGTTCATTGATCAACTATCAGGGTCATGTAAGGCTTTTGGACTGTCCATCAGCCTAGACAAGACAGTGGTGATGTATCAACCTGCCGAGAAATTCAGTATATAAGGCCATCAATTTATGTTGATGGTAGTCGACTTGGGGTAGTAGACAAATTTGTTTACTTTGGTAGCACTCTCAACCGCCACTGCTCCCTTGATGATGAAATAGCATTACAGATTAAGAAGGCCTCCGATGCATTTGAAGCACTCAAGTTCCGTGTTTGGAGTCAGAAGGGCATAAAAAAGCGAGACATGGTAGTCTATCGCAGACATCTGAAGATATTGGAACGTTCTCATCAACGATGCCTTCGGTTTGTGCTTGAAATCTACTGGATATCTCACACCCCTGATACCGTTGTTCCACAAAGGGCCAATTCACTCTCTGTGGAAGCAATTATACACAAATAGAGATTGCGATGGGCAGGCCATGTTATTCGTATGACAGCTGACAGAATTCCAAAACAATTAATGTATGGAGAATTGGAAACGGGGAAAAGGCCGCAGCACAAACCAAAACTTTGTTACAAAGGTTGCCTTAAAGAGTCGCTATACAAGTGCAATATTGATCTGGGTAATTGGGAGACTCTTGCTGAAGATTGGGTTTCTTGAAGAGTTGATATTGCTGATGGCTTCAAGATCTTCCATAAGGCCTCACAAAAATACGCAGAACTGAAGTGTTCATATCTATCTATCTATCTATCTATCTATCTATCTATCTATCTATCTATCTAATAATAGTGATCCCGTTTCGTAAAAAAAATGTAGATAAAATTATTTCTGGAGGACACTTTACATTACTTATTAAGTAAAATTCACTCATTAAGAGCATTAATAGAACAAATATTGAAATAAAATATTTAAAACTTATATTCAGACTGTTTCGTAGATGGTATCTGTTCATTAGCGGGGTTAATCTGCGAAACTTTTAGTCGGGAAGATAAGTGTCGAACATTTTCATTTGTTTGGTATCTATCTGTCTATCTATCTATCTATGTATCTATCATGTACCTAATTATATATACAGTAAGGATATATGCGTATATGTTAGCATGTGTATGAATACTATTATAAGTCTCTTTTTTCATTCGCATTATCTATCGTGGTTTATAAATTTTGTTTGAAAGTCTTATAACTCTTCTTATGGATAAAATATACGCTCCTCTTTCGCAAATTGAAGCTGAAGATATGACTTCTAGGCGAAAGATTTCAACTAAATTGTCTTTCCACGTGGAAAGCGTTTGCTCTGCCTATGGCCGTGTCTCGCAAAGTAAAGATGTTGAAAAGTATTTCTTCTTTTCCCGTTCGTCTCGTAATTTTGCTTATACGAACAGGTGCTGAAAATTTATTGACTCGACCTACTTTCCAAAATGTAACTAAATATCAAAACATTTAATTTCGCAAAGAATTTTTTGGATGGGTCGAGTAATTTCACCCCCAAAAAGATTCTTGCTAGAAATTTGTGATACGTCATATCTATGATTTTATTTTAAGTAATGTTTTATTGACGTTGTTTTTGATTTTCCCTTTTTTTTTATTGCTATTTTCGTTTTCACATTTTTTTTTAAAACTGCAGACTTTTTTCCTCTTCTGTTTTTTCGGTATCATGTCATTGTTTTTTTTTTTTCATTTCTTTTTTCGTTTTTATCTTTCCTTATTTCATCAATAGTTTTAGCTTTTCTTTTCAACATTTCCTTTTACCTCTATTTTTTTAGTGTCATCATTTCTTTCCCCTTTTTATCTTTTTTATTTTTATCATTTCCCCTTTCTTTCCTTTTCATCATTTCCCTCTCTTTCTTTTTCATCATTTCCCTCTCTTTCTTTTTCATCATCTTCTCTCTCTTTCCTTTTCATTATTTTCCCTCTCTTTCCTTTTGAACATTTTCCCTCTCTTTCCTTTTCATCATCTTTCTTTTTTTCTTTTTCACCATTTTCCCTCTGTTTCATTTTCATCATTTTCCCTCTCTTTCCTTTTGAACATTTTCCCTCTCTTTCCTTTTGAACATTTTACCTCTTTCCTTTTCATCATTTTACCTCTGTTTCTTTTTCATCATTTTTTCCTCCCTTTATTTTTATTTCATTATTTCTGTTTTCCTCTTTTCTTTTCTTTTCACCATGTTTTCTGTCATTTTTTCTCACCGTTTCTTTCTTCTCTTTTTTCTTGTTACTGTTTCTAGTTTCTTTTTAAATGCTTTATTCTTTTTCTGCCCTTTTTTTTTTATCTCTTCAGGTTTTTAATTCTCTTTGCCAATTTCCTCTTTTCATATGTTTTCGTCTTTGTTCAGTCATTTTCTGCATTTTAATGTGTGTCATTGATCTTCTGTTTGCCTACCTCCACTAATCCTCCCCCTCCCTATCATATTCCTTACCCTCTTCTTCTCGAGGATTTCTCTCTTATTATTTTGTATAAATGCTTTAAATCCTTTCATTCACTTCTTTCTTTATCCCTTAATTTCGTCTCCTTTTCTTTTTCAATTCATCTTCTCGTTTCTTTTCTATTCTCATCAGCCTCCTCATACACTTTGTCATTTTCACATTATCATACCATTTGTCATTTTCACATTATCATACCATTTACATACTGGAACTCGTTTTCTTCTCTTTCTTGGTTTTTTGAAGAGAATAATATTTATTTTAATATTATGGTTGCTAAATCTTTTATAAAATTAATTAACATTATTAAATATATATATCAATCGTGAAGACTGTAATGTTGGATTTAGCTGTTAATGATGTTATATATTCCGTATTAATATTATTATTATTGTTATTATTATTATTATTTTGCTTGTCTCTCCATTAGTTAGCACGACCACTGCGCTCTGTCAATACCTAATAAATAATGGACTATTTCGTTTTGATCACTTGGTTTTAGTAAATAAAAGTCCCTACTTTTCAGTCTCGATAGAATCGAAAGACGTCATCGCGTCCTTGTAAGTGGCAAATTGTTTTCCGTCCCACAACCCTGTTGATTTCAATCCTGTGTATGAATGTATATTTATTTCTGATTCAATGCGGAAATTTTGGCACAAGGCACAAGGACGAAGGGGAAGTGCGGAAAGGCTGGTACTCACTAACTATCCTAGTCCTAGTTAATCACAATTACAACCCCCATTCATTCAATACAATATACTCAATCACCACAAGAACTTGTCCATCACCTCCCAACCCTACATGTACCAAAATACCACATATTCATAAAAAAAATTTATACATCATGGGGTGTTTTCGAGTGAACAGTTTTGAAAATAAAAACGCACATATTTAAATAGATAAATCTCTTCGTAAGGTATGGTCTTTACTTGTGAGTACAATTTTGGTATTTCTTTAAGGCACGAGTTACCAGGGATTCCTTCGATGTGTCTACTGGAATCTTTTCCACTCAGTCCGAGGGCTCCAACTACAACTGGAATTGTTGATGTGCTCATGTGCCACATTTATGAGATTTCGATTTCAAGATCCTTGTATTTTGATAGTTTTTTGAAGATCCAGGGACTGCCAAGTCAATAAGGAGGCACATTTTGTCTTTGCGGTCTCTAATCACGATGTCATGGCGATTATCTTTGTTTGTTCTGTCTGTGTGTATTGTAAAGTCTCATAAAATTGTTTTACATGGCCTATCTCTGTAACCAGATTTGGGAGGTGTTCATACCAGTTTCTTGCAGTTTCTTTTCCGTAAACGTTGCAGATTTTCCATTGCAGATATTGGCCTACTCTGTCGTGTCGTGTTTTATATTCAGTGGGTACACGTATCTCGTAACCTTATACAAGATGGTTAATTTTTTGAGGAATATATATTACAGAATCTGCATTTTGGACTAACACAATTTTTCAGTACATATACTTGGTAATTTCTAGTTAGCAAGCTTCGGTCCTGCGCAGCAAGAATAAAACCCTCAGTTCAGCTTTTAACCCTGCACTACGTAGCTACAAATAGATAAGGGGATTGTCTATATTAGCTTGTTTGGTACTGATAGATTATTGACTGTGAAGCGGTTTGTTGTGCCATCATTTCTGTATCTGGTCAGTTGCATTTGTCTTTGCTTTCTTTTTTTTTAAGTATTTTGCAGCTTTAGTCGATGTATTATGCTTTACTTGTATTTGTTCATCCACTTGAAACTTCATTTTGGACTTGGTGACTTCCTTTATTACCGAATAAAGTCGCTTACTAATTTCATGTTCTTTGACACAGATCATTATCCAGTCTTCTAGGTATCTATGAAAGCCAACTGTTTTAGTTTTGTAAGACAGTTCTAGTTGAAGTAATTCTCTGCCTCTTTCGGATCTGGGCACATACAGACGATTTATTAATAATGATTTATTATTATTTTATTTCCTTTCATTTCTGGTGTATATTAATTTCTTTCCGGGCCCTGACCAGAGACCTCAGGTCAAAAATGGCATCATGACATTTTCCACTGAGAATTTTTGAAAAAAAAAACACACACACATTTTCCAAAGATAAGACCCTTCATATGGTGTGGGCTGTACTTGTGAGAATTTTTATTTGTATGGGCTACCAGGAATCCCTTTAATAATAATAATAATAATAATAATTTTCAAGTTCACACCTCACTTCTGCTTTATCTCAGGAGATTGGGACGCAATATGTCTTTTAATCTCCAGAATCTTCATCAGATCTCAGCACGCAGTGAGTCCAATAGTTTTTTTCTGTTTTCATCGACTTTTCAGTTCATCGCATTCTGCTATGAATCTTGTAAAACTACAAGTACCCTAGATATTATAAGGACAATGCTAAGTACCCTAGATATTATAAGGACAACGCTAAGTACCCTAGATATTATAAGGACAACGCTAAGTACCCTAGATATTATAAGGACAACGCTAAATTTTATGTTCTACAGTTCTCGCAATTCTAGGACAAGGGCCTGATAGTTTTCCAATTTTTTCCATTTCGTCTCCACCCTGTGAACTGCTATAACAGCCATTTTTTTTTTATACCTTCTTTAAAACTGTCAAATAAAATCATGGACGAGATGATATGGCTGGCTGCCAAACTTGCAAAGCATCATATCCATTTTAGTTTCGATGACATTAGTTTATATACATAGTATTTTATTTAAATTATTGAAGTCGTGTTCATAATTCCCAGTGGAGCGGGGTGTCGACATTGTCATTTTTTTTAAAAATTCTTTTGAATTTGCAAAGAATGATGTTTTCTTTTATTAAAATCACATGAAAACACTTTATGCCAATGTCAATTATTATTAAATAAATACCATATTTTTATTATTATTGACTGAAAAGAATAACAATGTAATTGTTGTAATAGTGAGGGTGACGTATTATAACTTTGATTTGTTTCAAATATTATTATTATTATTATTATTAGTGTTAGTGATGGTTCTCTTTTATAACTTTTTGGAACTTGAATGCTGCAAATTTTCAGTTGGTGCATTTGGCTTAAGGAGTTATTGACGTTTTATTATTGAGCAAATCCCGAGAAAAATGTCTATTGATGTGTGTTGTGCCAAAGGCCATTCTTTACTATTCTTTGAGAATTTTGATTTTGGCAGGTACTTCACATGCCAACAAATACAGCCATGGAGTTAAAATTTAGTTAAATAGTACAATCTTCTCAGAAGTTTTTACTTATTGACAGGTATACATTTATTTCCTTCAATCTATCTATCTATCTATCTATCTATCTATCTATCTATCTATCTATCTATCTATCTAAGCCTGTATATCTTTCTTGGTTCTGCTTATCTGTATCGACTCACGGTTTAAATTAAAAGAAAAAAAGATTGCTTTATGAATACCATTCTTAGGGGCATATTTCGAGAAGAGTTTTATTAAAACGTGTTTCAAAATTCAAACTTCGAAGAAAGTTTCTACCAAAGTTGACCGATAGACACGTTCACTAATACACAGACCGGCCTAAGTTTGCAGCAAAATAATCATTAAAAATTTCGCCTTTGTGAAGGAAGACACTTGAAAAATCTTCGTCTTACAAGTGGATGAAAGTTTCTCCCAGAGGGACTAACTCCTGACAGAACTACTCTAAAAAATTACACAAAAATACACACACACACAATCGTGAGGTCGGACGTTGAAAATTGTTTGGGGAATTAAATTTATGTTTAAATTGTCAGAACAATTTTCATATTTTACTTTCATTGATTTATTGATAAAACGGAATATTTCTTTTTTTAATCAAACTAAATCAATGTCTGTTCATTTACAAAAATCTTATCCATACAATGATGTTCAGATTCGACTCTTGCAGTCGCCATTTTAATGTCCTAGATTCGTGTTCTCTGCTTAGAAATTCGCAGTGTCTATTTGTAACAGAGAGGTAAGTATTTTCTTATTTATTAGACTTCAATATAATTCATAACAAGAAAAAATTGTCGAAAGTTCCTTTTACTGAAGGTAACTAGTCGAAGATTTTTCTTGAAACTTTTATAGTTTTTAAGTAACTTCATACCTCACAGTAGGAGTGAAATTTCTTTCAGATAACCAGTAGGGAAATAAATAGAAAAAAATACACCAAAACAAAGGAAACAAAACAGAGAGGATAAAGCCGAAGGAGAGAGAGGAGGAAATGGAAGAGAGAGAGAGAGAGAGAGAAAAGAGAGAGAGAGAAAGAGAGAGAGAGAGAGAGAGAGAAAATGAAATGATGAAAAATAAAACTATTATCAATACATATATATATATATAGTGGAGGAAATAAATGTTCGTACACATAAAAATTGTATTTTTATAAATGTAAAAGCCTTAAGTAAAACAAATTTTGATACATTTTATGTGTAAAGATACATTTTATTAATATAGTTACATAGTTATAAAATTCTAATTCTAGCAGAAATTAATGCATTTTTTCATTTTAACTGATGAAAAAAGTATTCGTACAAAAAAAAAAGCATATTAACTTAATTTAATACTTTGTGGAATATCCTTTATTGTGTTCAACAGCTAACAGTCTATTCCTGTACGTCTCAACTAATGATTTGCACACATTGGGTGGTATTTTGTCCCATTCTTCTTGGCATATTGTCTTCAAATTCTTGATATTTGTTGGTGCTCTTTTCCCAATTTGAATTTTCAAATATCGCCATAAATTCTCGATTGGGTTCAGGTCTGGGGACTGACTTGGCCATTGCAAGACATCAACGTTACTTTCAGCTAACCATTTCCTTGTAGATCTAGCGGTATGCTTAGGATCATTATCCAGTAAGAAAACCCAATCAGGAGGTAGCCGAAGTCTCTCAAAAGAACGCATTAAATTGTCTTGCTGGATTTTCTGGTAGTTTTCGGCATTCATCTTGCCATCTATTATTGATATTCTGCCAACACCTTTTGAAAAACAGTCCCAGATCATGATACTGCCACCACCAAACTTTACAGTTGGCAACGTGTTCTTGTGTAAGTAGGCTTCACCGTCCTTCCTCCACACATGATTTTGATGATTATGACCAAATAACTCTATTTTAGTTTCATCTGTCCATAGTACTTTTTCTCAAAACGAATAGTCTTTATCCTTATGCTCTCTAACGAATTTTAGCCTAGCATCTCTGTGTCGTTTCAAGAGGAGTGGAGTCTTCCTTGGGATGCGTGATTTCCGACTGTTTTTGTCATTACTTATTGTACGCTTAGTTACTTTAATCCCTAATGCACGCAAATGTTCCTGTAGCTCTTCTGGGGTAATCCGTGGATTTTGTTGGATCTGGCGTCCTAATATCTTTGCTGATCTTAGAGAAATCTTCCTCGGAGCACCTGTTCGTCTTTGGTTTTCGACGCTGTTACGAGTTTTAAACCTTGTAATGAACGAAACAATTGTAGTAAAAGGAATATTCAGGTTGTTAGAAATCGTTCTGTAACTGTTCCCATCTTTCCAAAGAGACAAAATGTGTTGTAAATTCTTTACCTTTAGGCATTATTAGAACCTTCTCGTAAGACGAGAAATTGCAGAATGCTCCGTTAATGGCTAATAGCGTTAACTATAATTACTGATAACATTACTGGAACATTCTAGAATATACTTTTTTCATAATTAATTGATTATTTTATTCTGATAATTGATTTTTACGAATACTTTTTTCACCAGTTAGAATTAAAAAAATGCATTAATTTCTGTTAGAATAAGAATTAATTAAGTTTATTAATATTTTTTAATAGTATGTGTCTTAATACATAAAATGTGCCGAGATTTGTTTTATTTAAGGCTTTTACATTTATAAAAATACAATTTTTCAAGTGTACGGATATTTATTCCCCCCCCCCACTGTATATATATATAATGAAAATATACTTTAATGTAGGCTATACTTATGGGTTAAAGAGCTCAATATCAAGCATAGAGCCTATGTAATTATAAAAGTGAACATTGAAGTGAACACCCAGCGACAGTCTCTTTCATGCTTAAACGCAATCTTCAAGCCAATAAAAATATTAAATTAAATATATATATATATATATATATATATATATATATATATATATATATATATATATATTCAAACATATATTGTTAAATATAGCAGACCACGAATGTCTATTATGGTTGATCATGAACCGTTCTAAACCCCGTATATTTGCTTTAATTTCGGGAGAAAATAAAGGCGAAAATTGTCCAACCTTTGGATATTTTTATTATGGTGTCCCTTGATCTAAGCTTTCGGCTCACATAAGCCATCTTCAAAGTGGTTAATTTAACATTTAAACAAAGATATTCAGCATCAAAAATGATATTTTGTTATGTTGCTATACTATGATAACGGTCGCAGAATAGCAGACGTAAATTCCTGATGCGGTTCTATGACTTCATACCACGCGAGAGACCGAAATATTAACAACAGAACCATAGGTCTAGATGCAATGTAATGTGTTGTGACTAGTTATAAATGTAATTTTGTTGAGTGTGCGTTGCTTTGTTTTAATGTAGATAACCTACAATATCTGAAGGTTCTTTTTACTCTATATATGCTTGAGTATTGTTATGTTATAAACTAATATTATGTACATGGCTCTGCTTTTCTAAGAAATGTTGTTTAATAGAACTAAGATCAGAAAGGTGACAGGTAAGTCTACGGGAGAGCGTGGTTGTAGTAAAACCAATATATGTAGTAGGTTTATTATTAGTATCTCTGAACGGACATGCAAATTGATACACTACATTGGTTTTTTGTAGAGGACTTAGCTGTGTGGTGGTAGGGTTATTAAAGAATATGAGGTCAATTGTTTTAAAGTTTTTATAATATGTGATGAGCTTAACTTGTTTATTATTATTTAATATTTCAATTATGTTTTTGAGTGTTGTTTTATCATGTATGTAATTATTATACATTTGATTACAATAGTATAAGTTAATAGTATTATGTCTATTTTGACATGCATTAATATTAATAATATTATTAGAGGTATTAAGTTTATTGAGATACATTTTAATTTGTTGATTAATGACAGAATTAGGGAATCCATTATTAACAAGTGTTTGCTTAATGTTATATAATTCTTTATAGAATATGGTTTTGGAAGAAGATATCATTTGTGTGGGTTGGATTAAGTTTTTTTTATAAAGGCTAACTTATATGGTTGGGGGCATTCACTATTACAATTAAGAAGACACTAGTTATTGCTTGTGGGTTTTCTATATTGAAAAGTAGTAAATTTATGTGTACTGGAATCAGTTACATCAAGGAATGGAATTTTATTATCAATATTAAGTTCTAGCGTAAATTTGCGGAAAGAGTGACTTTCAAATTTGTTTTTAAGTTCTGAAATTTGATCAATATTATTAGCTAAAACGAAAATATCATCTATGTATCTTACGTATATAGGGTTTTTATTAGTGTCACTAAGTATTTTACTTTCTAAATGTTCCATATAATAATTAGAAAAGGAGACCTATATATATATATATATATATATATATATATATATATGTTTATATCTATCTATTTATCTATCTATCTATCTGAATAAAAAATGACAAGAGGAAAAATTATTATTAGCCACTTTTTATTCATATATATATATATATATATATATATATGAATAAGAAGTGACAAGAGGAAAAATTATTCTTAGCCACATCCCCTTGTCTGATAGATAGATAGATAGATATAAACAAATTGAGATAGATAGATAGATAGATAGATAGATAGATAGTAAGAATCTAAGCATAAATATAAATTACAAAATAAAGCAGCTTTTTTTGTGAAATATCCGTCCAGGGACGGCCTTATCCTTGAGCTTTTGTAGAAGGTTGACATGTCAAAGCATGTCGAATGCCACCGTCCGGGCTTCGCCAATCTTATCTAAAGCGTGATAGACAAATTGAGTGACAGCCATTAACACATCGGTAGTAGATCTGAAGAAACGGAAGCCATATTGTTTATCCGAAAGGAGTCAGTGTAAATGGAGATGCTTTACCAATGCGACGTTGAATAGAGTCTCTAGTAGCTTGCCAAAAAACTCTAATAGGACAATAATTCGAGGGGTCAGAAGGTTCCTCAAACTTATGAAAGACAGGAACCACAGAACACAACTTCTAACTCACTGGAAAGCAAGAAGAGTCCAGGCAGTTATTGTAAAGTTGAGAGTGCATATGTCACAATTACAGCAATACAATCGACTTCACAAGGCTTGTGGGGATCTAATTTAGAAACGATAGCACAAACTATTGTTAGCCACTTCCTCTTCTCTTTTATTCACTTTGTTCCTTTACAGATACACTTTATTCTGAAAATAATTTACACATACATACGCACACACACATTCACATA